GATATATGTGCATAAATTTCAGATTTTTATGTTATTCTTATATGCCATCTTCATGTTGAAAATTCACGAAGGATCAAGAACCTTTATAAATACTTTTGAATGTTTATTTCATTCTTATGCCATGCCTTATATTTAAGGATACAAGTATGAGTATGTATAAAAGATTTAGACTTGAAAAGTCACAAGAAGAAGTTTTAGAAAGAAATTTTTTTTGGGAGTATCCTTTATTCTGAGAAGGGGTCATCGTCCAGGCCTAGGGTCCTGACCAAGGCGTTGACTTCCTGAAATTACTTATGCCAAAGTAGGGAGCACACGAGCTGAGGGACTCGTTGCTGAGAATTTACTTAGTCATGCTAAGGTATGAGACATGAGCGCTGAGAACCATAAAGCGAGTGGNAACACCTCGTGGATTGGGCATATTCGATCAGGTTGGGATCGAACCCGTGCCGATCAAATGGTGACTGAGACAGAATTAAGTCAGGATAGTTGGAACTCCCAAAGTATAAAGTGAAGTATATTTTTTTTTAGAAAGAAAAAGAAAAGATTTTCTTTTAGAATATTCAAAAATTGCTATTATGCAATTATTTTGAATTATACTTATAAGATTTATGTTTTACATGCATTTAGAACCTTTGCTCATAATGTATATGTTATTAAAGTTTCGCCCCCTGTTGTTGAGACTCACTGAGTACAATGGATGTTACTGACGTTCTCTTTTGGGAACCTACGTTGGTCTGCGGTACAACGTAGGAACTGAATTTGCAGGCGAGCAGGCGACGAGTTAGGACTTCCTTCTCTTCCAGTGCTATTGGTAAGCTCCGCTTTTATTCGTGGAGTATTCCTTAGAGTCATCTTTATTTAGTTATTTCTTTGTTACTTAAAGAACTGGCCAGGAAATCCCATGTCCTGAGCAGTGCGTCAGTTTATCAGTAGATACTTCATAGACATAGTCAATGGGGTAAGATTCAGATATTTTTTATAATAACTTAGCATAAATTTAGTAGTTATTACGAATAAAGTTTTGGAGTTAATTTATTTAAATATTTACATTAATCAAAAGTATTTAGTTGAAGTATTGCCTTGTTGCATATAAAGTTTGGAGTTATAATAGATCTGATAAGTAGAGATGGTTCGCTCGGTCATGTTTAGCGATCGAGTGCCGGTCCCGGTTTATTCAGAAAATGGGTCGTGGCAAACTTGGTACCAGAACCTCATGTTTATGGAGTCCTAGGGGTCTATGAAGCCGTGTTAGTAGAGTCTTGTTTATGGGTATGAAGCCCGCTATACTTATAAATAGGAGGCTACAAGCATTTAGGAAAAATCTCATTTTTTCATACTTTAGATCGTGCAGTAGATCCTACCTCTAAGAAATTATCTAATGTATTCGTTTTTCCAAAACTCACAGAAATGGCTCGTACTCGCAACTCTGACACCGACGCTCAGGATACTGCTCAAGAAACTATTGCTACCATTGTGGCTCAAGGTAGAACTAAGAAGGTTTTAACTCAGAAAAGGAAGGGTAGATCCACAACAGGGGTCCAAGTACCCCGAGTTGAACGTGAAGAAGGGGTGGATAATGATGAGCAAGTACCTCAGGATCCAGTACCGCCCCCAACAGCAGCTCCGGCTCAGGCAACTATATCTCCCGAGGTGGGCCAGATGTTTAATGCTGTCAATAGTGCTATGGAGATGTTTAAAGCCTTTATGGACAACCAGAACGAGAGAAGAGATGAGATTCCACCTCAATCAAATAGACAGAACAATTCTGAGTCCTCAAGAGTGAATGAATTTTTTGAAGTGAGTCCTCCAGTGTTCCATGGTTCTATAATTGATGAAGATCCGATGTTGTGGTTGGAGGGTGTCAAGAAAGCCCTCCGAGTGATGAAAGCATTTGATGATGAAGTTGTGGAGCTAGCTGCTTACCAGCTTAGAGATGTGGTCGGCGCTTGGTTTGAGATGTGGGAAAAGGAAAGAGATGAAGATGATGGTCCGCCTACTTGGGAAGAATTTGAAGAGGCCTTCATAGCTAACTTTATCCCAAAAAAGGATAGGGAAGCTAAGGCTACAGAGTTCGAACAACTCAAGCAAGGGAATAAAAGTGTGTAAGAGTACTACATGGAATTCATAAGGTTAGCTAAGCATGCTCCTTACATGGTTAAGACAGAAAAAGCAAAGATTTACAGGTTTGTTGGCGGTTTAGCTTACCACATTAAGGATACAACATCAGCTGCAGCAGTAGGAATGACAACCTTCTCCTCTGTTGTGGGATTTGCCAAGCACTTAGAAAAAGACAGACAACTAAGGAGAGAAGAAAAAGAACATAACAAGAAAACTTGGACAACGGGTAGGTTTAATGGTACATCCAGCGGAGATGAAGAGATTCCTCTAATAAGGAGTCATTAGCACCAGCTCAGTCCAATCATCAATCAGGTGGTGGGTCTTCCTTCAGACGTACTTAGAGTTATGGAAATCAGTCTCGCCAGAATCAGAATTTTAGGACATCATCCTCACATAGCCAGAGTCATACTGAGCAACATTCACACTAGCAAGGTCTTTGTGGAACATGTAAGCGGCAACATTCAGGTCAGTGCAAGCTCGGGTTTCATGGTTGCTACCATTGTGGAGACATTGGTCATATAAAGGCCAACTGCCCACAGTTGCGACGTAATTTCAGTGGTGGATCAACTCGTCCTTCTAGTTCCTCAGCTACTGTAGTTGCACCACCTCAGGCTCGTGGTTCTCATAATCAAACCGGGCATGGAGCAGGCAGAGGTGCAGACCGAGTTACTCAGGGAGGGGGACAACCCCATTTGTTTGCGATAGTTTATCAGTAGAGGCTTCATAGACATAGTCAATAGGGTAAGATTCAGATGTTTTTTATAATAACTTAGCATAAATTTAGTAGTTATTACGAATAAAGTTTTGGAGTTGATTTATTTAAATATTTACATTAATCAAAAGTATTTGGTTGGAGTATTGCCTTGTTGCATATAAAGTTTGGAGTTATAATAGATTTGATAAGCAGAGATGGTTCGCTCGGTCATGTTTAGTGATCGAGTGCCGGTTCCGGCTTGTTCAGAAAATGGGTCGTGGCAAGGGATCAGATAAATAGCTACTGGAATAGCAAATGATGTCAGGGTATTGCGAGTAATAAGATCCTCATGTTAGTAGTAAATCCCTTCCGCATGTGATTGGATTTCTACTTAGAGTTGTTAAACAACCTTAAAGGGTTTAATTATATTATAGCTCTTGATGCTCGCATGTCGCACGAACTACTTGTCTGTGTGAATTAAGTGTGTTATTTATTCATGATACTGGTTTGAGTTCCAGCCCATCATGAGCGAAGTGGGAGATGTTGGGTATTAAATTCGGATAGCGTGTCGCTCTATATGGGCTGACCCAACCCATTTGGGAAGAGATAGAGTTTGAGAACAAAATAACTTCTCTGGAGAAGTTACTACACGTTGGGTGTAGTTTATTAAGAGCAGTTTTCTCAAAGGAGTTTCTTTCTTTCTCTTTAAAAAACCTTATTTTGGGCTTCCTATTCCTAGAGAAAAATTCCAAGAAGAGTAACATGCCTTTCTTCTTATAAATCTTCTTCTTTAACAGAGAAGTGTTTTTTCTCTTTCTTTCGCAAAAACACACACATAAAGAAAGACTTTAATTTGTGAAATAAACTTTGTTTTCAAGAGATTCAAAGTTCGATTTGGGGCACTTCTTTTGGTGGTGAGTTCAACAATTCTTCCGATGCGTTGGTAGGTACACTAATGTTGTTCTTGCCCCACGATTATTAATCTTACAGTTTTGGAATAGACTAAAAAGAAAAGTACATCATCTAATATGAAACGGAGGGAGTACCGTTTTTAATTTGTAGTTTTCCTTTTGAGTTAACCTTGAATTCGAATACTTCATGTTGTAATAAGATGTTAGAGCCATTTGAGGACTTTATGATGTGTATTACTGACATCAGTCATCTCTTGGTTTTAGATGATACAAAGTATAAATGTATTATGTATTTTATACAAAACGCGAAGCAGATTACTGCACCCTACTTAGTACTCTATCCATAAAACTTACTTAGTAGAACCTGAACCAAGAACCAGTAGGGAGACACCCTTTAATAAGTGATCTGATCCGACACTGCTTTTAAAGATTCTTCTTATATATGTGTAATTAATAGTACGGCCATGATATTTGTGTGAATATAAAAATTTCTCATTAAAGATAAAATAAAGAGTTTAAAGTTGAATTATTTCCAAATTTAAAAATATATTATTTATTTTGAAACAAACTAAAAAAAAGTATCCCATCTAATTAGAAAAGGAGGGAGTAGTGATATACTTTAAAATAATCTAAAGCAGATATTAATATAGGACACAAAAATATTTGAAATCCACCATGATATGGCTTACAAATCGAATTGCACACATAATTTGAGGCGCGTACGCTTCTCGGCTTGTGCAGAGAACGAAATGTCCTTTCAATCCTAGTAATTAAGTTAACGATAAGTTTTATTTTGTATCACATATGACTTACATTAGTTGTATAAAGTTTCTTTTTGTTTCACAAATTTGTGAACCCCAATCTTACACTTTTGGGTCCACAAAAATCTAAGACAAAAAAATTAACTCATATAACTAGTGTCAGTTGTACGAGACACAAAACAAAATTTTCTTAAGTTAACACCAGGAAAGTCTTTTGTCACTTTTGAATTGGTCCTTGATGAGACATTGAGGAAGAAAGGTATCCAAAGCTAGTCTTCCCTTGGTTGATAATGATGATCAACAACACAAAGAAGAAAGGTACAAAATCAAAGTCTGCCCCTGCCCCCGGACAAGTCAGCCAATTCTCAATATATATATATATATATATATATATATATACATGAAAAGTTGGTCGACCAAGGGCAAAATTGCCATTTCATATCTCACTACAGTTCTGTTTGTACATCTATTGACTTGCTTCGCTTTTTTTTTTTATTACATCGAATTAACTTTTAAGTCTCATTTTGGGCTCTTTGTTTCTCTCTTTCTCTCTCTCTATCAAACTCTTCGCTCATTGTTTTTCTAAAAATTTCTTTTGTTCCTAAAATGTAAATTTCATCTTTGATTTGTGAATCTCAAATAAATGAAGCTTCATTTCTGCCGTTAGGTTTCTTTAAAGTGGCGTTGCTTGACATTTCAGTTCGATTCATGGAGTTCTTAACCAAGTATTTGAATACACAAGTTGGGTTTAGCTTACTCTAAAGGTCCAACTTTGCTTTAGAAAGGTAATTGATTAATTTAAGTGTTTGCATTTATTTTTTTGGTTATAAATTGGTAATTATGATTCTGTAGTTTCTGGGATTCTATAATTTTTACATAAGATTCTAAATTGGGGATGTTACAACAACAACAACAACCCAGTATAATCCCACACGTGGGGTCTGGGGAGGGTAATATGTACGCAGACCTTACCCCTACCCCGAAGGGTAGAGAGGCTGTTTCCAGGAGACCATCGACTCAAAAAGCAACCGAAACCGATATATTAGTACCATAAAAATGCATAATAAAATAACAGCAATACAATAATAGCAATACAATAAAAATGACAAATGAGCTTTATAATCAGAGTCAAATGGTAGAGCGTGCAGTAAAAAATGACATTACCGGCAACTTTGCCGCCATATCCAGTGGCTTCAGCAGAAAAGTCATAGCTTTCTGCTCCTCTATTGTATGAAGTTTGTTGACACACATATTCTTGCATACTTTAAACAAGTATGTTTAAAGTACTCCTACCTTATAGAAGCATTAGAAAACCTTTCCACGAAGATTAGGCATATATTTTAAATTTCTTTCTGTTTTTGTTGTGGCAATTAATTTTAGAGATAAACCTATCAATCATTTATTGTGTGTGCTCTTGGATCTCCAGTTTCTTTTATCTTTCGTAAATCAGCACTTTCTTGGTGCTTCCAGTAATGAATACACCTTACATGCGTCAAATATAAAGTATATTGTCAATTTTTTACCAATGCGATGACTTTTTACAGATAGTATGAGCCTTTTAGCTTTTTTGTTATGTCATTAGACAAAAAAATATTAGTAATCAATCCTGATTGGAGTTATTCGACTTATCTTGAATTATGTGTGAGTTTATGATGTACCAATTTCAGGTGCAACAAGCATTAGTTGCTGGCGTTTTTTTTGTATAAAAAGTAGCTAAAAAGTGTTGAATGGCAAAGGTTTAGTTGGCATGTATATCTAACTTTATTTTTCTTATCTGATGATATATATTTGATCAACAAGACTTCTAGACATATGGTTCAGTTTTTACCTTCTTTATTGGTTGTAGCATTCTTGTGAATTCCTTTTCTGAACAAAAGATGAGGGCATGAAGCCACTTCTTTTCAATTAATTTTGTGTTAGTTAAACTAAATGTGAACAGTAATCCTAATTTTGAGTTGTTGCAGAGAATTGTTTCTACACAACTATGCTTTTGGATAATTTTTTGATTTCTCGGGCTTACATTTAAGTTCTTTTAGGAGAGAGTTATTTTGGTAAAGTGACATTTAAACAAACAATTGAGGTTATTTAAAGAAGGGACAAGATTTGGAGTTCCAAATGGATTCTTTAAAAGCTATATTGCAAGATATTAAGGCTGGTATTTCATTATTCAATGCGATAGCTTTTAATGCAAGAATATGTGTTTCTTTCGATCTTCGGATGTTTGAATGCTTTTACGTGATATTTTTTATAATCTTGAGTGTTTGAGTTAATAATATTAATATGTGAGATAATAAAGCCAATGTGTTAATTAGTTAAGCTCATTTTGTAACAATGATGTGAGGTGACTTATGTAAAGTTTAATATGAATGTTAATATGTTTTAGACACACTAATAGATCAACTAATTGATAACATCGCACGTCAAGTTGCTTGAGATTCTATGGATTGCTTGAGAGAAGAGCACCAAGATTAGAATTACACAGGAACTTATGCTACTTACCCAAAAAAAATAATATCACACAATGCTATTTTCGAGCCAATTTGGTATTAGTATTCTAACCGTTTCTTTCTCTTGTTTTGCATTCCTATATTGTACTAAAACTCTACTCTAATCTTATTTCTTCTCTTGATGGATTTTACCAGTCTTCAACTATGATCGAAGCAGTTCCCTGTTCAAGATGATATTTAGTTTTTCACCCTTTTGTAATGGCGGTCTTTTTTATAAAGGAACCTCCCTGCTTGGTTTCTGGGTGGAAAAAGGTTATATATGCTGAAACACGATTACATAAGGAAGAGGACTTTGAGCCTAGCTTTCCTGGAACAATATACAGCCCCCAGTTCTTACAAATCTAAGATCATAAAGGACTCTATTTACATTAGCTCTGTACAACCTTATCATTCCTAAATTAGACATGTATTCTTTTTAGTTTTCAAAATTGGTATTTCCTTTTTGCTGTTTACACCTGGAAGATGAGAATTGCAAGTAATTTATCCATCCTTAACTATCCTTTAACCTCTTCAGGTAGCTCCCTCCAGCTATGTATAAATACCTCATTTAGTACTGGTTCTCAAGGAGGTAGGAAGTTGATAAACTTTTCTTTCTTTTATATTCATTAATCTCAGGAGCACAATGGCCATGGTAAAAGAAATTCAAATGGCCAATTGAAATTATAATTACTTATTCAAATTTTATTTACCTATCAAAGCTGTATATGCATTTGAGTTGCATGATGCATTTCACAATTTCTGTTAAGTTCGTTTCTTTTTTCAGTGTGCTCCTGCACATATGCCAATTATTTGATATTGTCAAATTTTAATTGACCAGCACCTAGGAAAAAAATATAGAAATAGAAAAGACTTGCAAAAGAATAAATTATCTAGGCTGACTTTGGGCCTTGCTAAGCACGGGCTGCTTATATCTAGTAGGCATTAAAAAGAGGCGTTTTCGTATATATACCATATATGAAACTATATTACTAAATATGTTCTTAGTTTATTTATTACCCTTCATGTTAATAGTATTTCTACCTAATATATACAATGCATTAAATAAGGAATCACTGTAGTTTTATGATTCCTTATTTTGCGCGCTAAAAGAGGGGAATTAAATATTTTCTAGATCTTCCCCAACGCAAATCACGCACATTCCATAATTATCGTCGGCTTCACTTTGATCTTCCACAATGCAGAACAAGATTTTTCATACTCCGTTTTTGTGATACACTCTGTTTCCAGAAATTCTCTCTACATCTCTCTCTATTTCTCAATCACAAATTTCAGTAATACAAAGCAAATGAAAAGAGACCAGCAATTCCACTATTGACAACCATTAAAAAGCTTGAAAGCTTTGAATTCAAATTTGGGTTTTCAAAAATCATTATTTGTTTGAATTGGGTGTTGTTAAAAATAATCGGGAATATGGTTTGGAGTTTATATCTCAATTTTGAGGGGTTTTGGTGAAGATTAGACTTGGTTTTGACTGAATTTCAGATTGAATTTCTACATATTGCAGAAATTGTAGATAAATTGTAGATTATTTGTATTCTGATTGTAGATGCTTTATTTTCTGTTTTCACAAATAAAAACTTCTACAAATCTTCTGAAAAAATGCAATTATGTCAAAAATCTCAATTATGCTACAATTGAATGGAAATTGGGATATAAAAATTCAATGTACCCAGTTTGTAGATAAATTATAGATTATTTGTATTTTAATTGTAGATGCTTTGTTTTCTATTTTTACAAATCCAAAATGACTAAAACTTCTACAAAATCTTCTGCAAAAAACGCAATTATGTCGTAAATACCAATTAAGCTACAATTGAATGAGAATTAGGATATTAAAATTCAATGTACCCAGTATGTAGATATTTTGTAGATAAATTGTAGATTATTTGTATTCTGATTGTAGATGCTTTGTTTTCTGTTTTCACAAATCAAAAGCGACTAAAACTTCTATAAATCTTCTGCAAAAAACAGTCTATAGTGATTATGTAGATACCCTTACAAATAATACTGCTTTATACATACTTAAACTGATTTGTTGTATATTTGTAGAATTTTTGTAGAAAATATACCGAAAGATATGTTCTTTCAGTATATATCTAGCATATTCTTTGTTGCTAATTGATTCTGTTTTCATCTTATTTGTAACTGGAATGGTTCTGATGGATGTTTGAATTGAAAAATGTTAAGATAAGATTTTCAGTTAATATTGCCGAACATTCCCAAAAAATGCAGTATTTATTCACCAAAAGTTGCTACTGATTTTCCATCACATCTAATAGCATTATCTGTAATATATGGAAGAACCAAAAACAATATTTTGGATTAGGCTTCAACGAGAAACTTATTGCATTGAAGAATGAATATTGGAGGAATCTGCATCCAAGAATGTCTGGATTAAGCACTTCAAATCTGTTCTCATATAAACAAAGAAGAATTTTCAGATTCCTTTAATTAAGGAGTAAAAAACGTACAATTAATTATACCCTTAATTAATTATGGTATAAAATTGATAATTTGGTATACTAAGTATAATTAAATCAAACCTTAAATATTGAGGGTAATAAGGTTTCATATGTGGCATAGAAATATAAAAATTCCCACTAAAAAAGCAAACTCCTCTATCCTCACCAACGAAAAATATTAAAAGACAAAAAAGGAAAGTTAGCAAAGACAGCCTTCTAACTACATTACATCCGGCCCGTTTGATGAGTGGACCTTGCCTCGTTGTCATAGTGAATCTGTTACTTATATACTTATACTTTAAAGAAAATTTCGGAACTTGTCTGGGTTATTGTGTTCATAATTAAATATTTATGTATAATTAATAATTTTTTTAATTTGATTATAATATACAAGCAAAAGTTATTGAATTCGTCCGATTCGTACGTTAAGTCCGCCCTTGCTGCTTATTAGAAACTGGACAAGCTAAACACCGGCATGATTCATAAAGAGCTAAAGGTTTTCGGGTAGATTCTTCATTTTTCCATTCCATTGGCTATGTATTAGAACGTTAATTATAATAGCTGTTTTTATTCGAATAAAAAGCAGAAAGATTAGCTAAAAGTCCATACTGAATGTCTGGTTCTGGACTGTCATCTTCTACCGAATATCCTACAGATACTATTCCTCGCACCTTCTGGATTTCGATAAAGAATTTCCAACACAAATCAAGACCAGAAATGAAATTTAAAACAAAAAGAAAAAAGAAATCACTCGCCAAACGCAAATTAAGTTTGTGACATTAATCAGGATTAAATTTTACGACAGGGTCATAAAACAAACTTTGCTTAGTATGACCGTAGAGTAAAGATTATTTTTTATCACATTAAAGTAATTGAATTATGAATGGATTGTTTTGAAAGTACAAAAAAATTTAAGATGTTTGGCCAAAATGAAAAAGTGCTTTTGAGTAATAGCAGAAGCAATTTTTCTATTTTTGGGGAGAAATTACAAGTTCTAGCTTCTTCCAAGAAGTAGAAACAGAAAATTAATTTATTCAAGACAAAAATATCCTTATATTAAATTTATATTATTTCTTATTAATTTAATATTTTTATTTTCTTTTTCTCTTTTACCATACATTTCTTCTATTTTTTATTCTATCATATTATTCTTTTTTTCCATTTTTTGGAATATTCATTGTACTGTAAATATATCTCTTCTTTTATATAGTAATTTATAAGAGTAGATTTTTAATTTATATTGAGTGATGTATTTTGATATATTTAAATCATCATGTAAACAATAACTAATACTGGATACTCAATATTATCGCTTTGGAATAACTATATTTTATATTTATTAAATGTTTAGATTAAAATTTTATTATAATAAATATTTAAATTCATTTATCTCTTTCAAATAACACTAATTGCAAATTAAACTTTTATGGTCTTTTCTCAGTAATTTGAACTTGAAAGTACTTTTTGGGATGATAAGCCTAACTCAATTTGCTTGTAAAAAGTACTACTCAATGCATTGATCAAACATCAATTGCTACTTTGTAAAAATATTTTTTCTAAAAGTACTTTTGAACATAAGTATTTTTAAAAATAAGTAATTTACAGTTTGACTAAACAGGGTCTTAGACATCAGGTTTTGAGTTATGCCATGTTGCTGGCCACGTCAAGCTTTGCAGCTTTGTAATTCCATGCCACAAAATAAAAGAAAGATCACCATGTAAAATGACTACTCATATCTCAAAAAAAAAGAAAAAGATAATTAAACCGAAAAAGAACGACTATAGGATAGAAGTCGTTGGTTCTAGAAATTTCGTAGTTACACTATGTTTGATTTGAAAATTTGTAGAGCTAAATGACTCCTTATTATCTAATATATATATTATCTAAGTTTCCAGAGAAGTCCAGAAACAAGCCAAGATAGGCTTTCTTAGGCCCTGCTTCCAGAACAATCTTCGCCCTGTTCCCTTTATATTATGACGTTCCCCTATGTTTCTGGATTTGCAACTGAAGTTTCAAAGATAACACAACATGGCTCACTGCTTATCAAGATTTTCAATTTCTCAACCTTTTCCATTTTCTGTCAACAATCCAAAATTTTCCTACTACTCTGTTCCAATATCTAGTAGAGGTTGTAATAACAAAGTGAAGGCCATGTCAGTTGATGAAAGACACAATCTTGAAAAGAACAAGCACCAATCTCAGCAACCCATAAAGAGATCACCCCAAATGGCCCCTGTTGGTAAGATTCAAAATATTTCCTTTTTTTTTCTTTTATTACTCTCTCTCTCTCTCTCTCTCTCTCTCTTGTTGCACGATGTCAAAGTGCTTGATGATGAATAGAGGTTGCTTATCAGCGGAATGAGTCAAATTTGGATAGATCAAAACAAGTAAAATTTTAAAAATGAGTTATAACTTGTTTAAAATTTGCTTGTGTCATAATGAGTGAAATGACATATCATAACATATCACATTCTCAATTTTGATTTTGTATGTCTAAGGTCGGATTGCATTTTGACATTTTGAGTTATACTATTTTGGCAAACCCAATAGTTTGAAAGGTTATCTCGATTTCAAGCTGTTGGGTCAAATAAGTAAACGAATCACAAATTCATACCGTTTAAACTTGGTGAATTGGGTTGGCTTATTCAAATATAGATTTGATTTTGCTATTGTTTTCATTTTGAGCCATTTTTCCTGAGGTTCGTACATTTAGTTACCTTGAACCCAGGGGTGGATCTAGCTTATAAGCCCAGCAATTTTTTGACATATCATGTATGTGTGCTAAAAAAATTATTAAACAATTATAAAAAATAAATCTTGAATGGATTAAATTAAATTGGCTAGGGTAAAACCTCAAATTCATTCAAATCTTGAATCTGGCTTTTGCTAAACATGTACCAAAATCACATACATTACCTTTCTCAAATTTATTAATATCTGTATAGTAGTTTGTTGTTGACGTTTCTTGAATATTTTATTTGTGGCTGCAGGGTTGTGGGATAGGTTCCCAACAGCAAGGACAGTGCAACAAATGATGGACACAATGGACAGAATCATGGAAGACCCTTTTGCTTTAAATGGAAATTGGGTTGCAGAAGAAGATGTTGGGTACAGAAGAGGAAGGACACCATGGGAGATAAAGGAAAGTGAAGGAGAATACAAAATAAGATTTGATATGCCAGGCATGACCAAAGAAGATGTGAAGGTTTGGGTAGAAGAGAAAATGTTGGTTGTGAAAGCTGAGAAAGTGGCCAAGAAAATAAGTGAGGAAGAATGGTCTGCTAAGAGCTATGGAAAGTATAGTACAAGAATTGCATTGCCTGAGAATGTTGAGTTTGAGAAGATTAAGGCTGAGGTTAAAGATGGTGTCTTGTACATTACTATACCAAAGGCTGGTAGTAATCCCAAGATTTTTGACATTAATGTTGAATGAATTAACAATTTTGATCTCTAGTTTATATTGTCTCTTAGTCATATATAGACGCTTCTCTTGTATAAGTTCTCTTTCTTAAGGTTTATGGCTAAAGTTGTAGATTAGTAAGGGCTTATCTTGTAAATTTAATAGCTCTAGGAGGCAAGTGAATGTGGCCACCCCTTCTGAGGTGTAATATTACTAATTAGTCACTTTTTACATTTACTATTTGCGCTTAGCCACGGTCTAAAAAACTAATAGATTTTAGCCATTCCTTTTAAAGGTGAATATATTTTGGACAAAAATTCCCCCAACATATTAAATAACTATTGAATTTGTTTGTGTTTCGCGCAGTTATATTATCGACATGATCTTTTCTTTAATAAATAAATATTAAAAATAATGAAGTGTATCTAACTGATTAAATCGTATTTTCTTCATAAATTAATAACTGATCAAGTCAAAAATTATTCTTAGTCTATTTGTTTGCTTCAAAATTCTACTTTGTCAAAATGACTAATTGCTACACTTCATTTTGACCGTCACATCTCAATTATTTTCTTGAGATTTCTAATACTCCGTAATTTTTTAGGTTAATAACATCTCTTTTCACAATTTTAAGAATTTAATAAATTTATATCCAAATTTACTTTATCTGTCCTTACTTCTATAAAAAGAAATTTTATTCTGATTTTTTCAATAAAAAAATGCAAAAAAGGTTTTCTATTTAATATTCTTATTACCTTGACATTTGGAAATACCCTTTTTTATTTTGTTATTTTTCTTGTTTGTCTCTGTCATTTATGTTATTTTTTTTGTAATATTCACACCCTTCATTACTTCATAAAATCAGAAATTGTTACTTTTTCTTAAATAATCAAGTTGCCTCCTAATAAACTCATGAAAAAAAAAAAAAATCACTCTCTTGATTAAGTTCTTTTTATATGTTTTCATTTTACGTGCTATATTAAAATTCCAAAATCACAAGTCTTAAATAATCTTAGTTATACCTTCTCTTTTCTTTTTCTTTCTCCAACATCTCCTTTTTAGTTTATAAGAATCGTTGATAAAGTGCATTAGCTACTTCAATATTTTTCAAGAGTTCTTCTCGATTAGAACTTTTTAAACGGTCTTGCTCTTATAATTTGATTCGATGCTCTCAAGTTTCTTTGTTTATATATATTTAAATTTTTATTATCCTTCATGTTCAATAAAAGTATAATTACAAAAATTAGCCTTTATATATATCCAAATATTATAGCCTCTTTCTACTTTTTAAGGATTTATAATCTATTTTTTTTGTCTTAAGTTATATACGTATAACTCCAATCCTAAAACATCACCTATAGTTCTGTTTCAAACAAAAAGGTAAAAGTAAAAAATAGTCACATAACAAAAAGCCTAAAATAGAAGTCTTGAAAAATCTTTACATCTTTTGTGTTTGAAAAGAGGGTTTTCATTTACCTCGTGTATTTATTTTTGTCACATTGCATATACAAAGTTTATTAGTAGAGTTAAAAATACATAAGCAATTTTCGAATTTATTAGTTTTTATATGAAAGAAAAGTTACAAGTTTATATGTACTTTTTTAAGGAAAAAGTTTAGAATTATATTATGTTCTTCTATTACATTTTGTGCCATCACCAGGAAGTCAAGAAAAAGGAACGACATTTACTTTCAAGGCCTATTTCTTATTTATAATTAATATATCATCTCATTCACATGGGTTAGTCATATTTTATATATAGGAAAGAAGTAAAGTGTTCTCTTAAAATTTTAAAATTGACGTTAATATAACGTTTTAAAAATTAAAATACTCTTACAAGTGTTCCGAGTGGGTGTGTTGTTATTGTTAGATTCAAGTGAATATAGAATTTACTGATTTAATGTATTGAAGCACCTAATAGCACATAACTATTTTAACAACAATAAAATGGATTAGTCAATAAGGTAACAGAGAAATCTAATCTTAGCAATTAAATAAAAGATCAAAGTCTAAAAAATGAATGGATCCTTGCAGTCCCCCGTTAATTCTTTTTAGAAAAAAAAGAAAATACAAAGTAAATCATGTTTCAAAAAAAGTTAAACGTTACATTTTTGTGATAATTTGTAGTGTAATGGAAGCAAAAATTTCAGCTGGAATGCCAAGACTCTTCCGCCGCCACTTTAATGCTCGATTCATCATTTCCCTTGCAAGTTTTACCTATTTTTATAAAGCAACATTTAGTAAATACTATAAATTACAAAAATAAAAATAAAAATAAAACATAATACATGGATATTCTGATCTTGAAAGTAAAATCTAGATACTAAAATATTAAACAAAATATATTATCATTTATCAGTAAATCAGAATTTTTTTTTTCTATTCTGGTATAATTTGCTTTTCATATTCATACCTTTCAATCCCTCCAAAAAATTAAAAACTATCATCCTTCCTTAAAGAAGCAAATGAAACAAATCAACTCCCCTTTCCATTCCTACTAATATCATAGAAAATTCTACAAAATCAGTTTCTCTCTTACTGCTTTTCTTGTTCCCACTCTCCCAGCATCATTCTCTAATCAAAAGGTACAAGAAAAACAAATTCTTTCTTTATAAAGAGTTTGAATGAAAAGTAAAAGAAAGATTAATGAGAAAAAAAGAAGAAAGGTATGTATTGGAGAAGATATGCTTTAGTATTTATAGTGACCATTACAATTTGTAACTTATATTCAGTAATATGAATAGAAATAGTAACGTTCATTGAATAATTATGGTAGAATTAGTATTGATTGTATTAATTGCCACATCAACTTGGTTATTCCCACCTTTATATATATATATATA